GCAGCAGTGTCATCCACGTCCTCGGGCTGGACCTCCTCATCAGCTGCACCCTCGGGAGGCTCCTGCTGGACCGCCCATGGGATCTGAGGTTGAGGAAACCCCTCGATCCACATGACACCCCACTCTTCTCGAAGCAGGAGAATTTTGGTGATCGTAGCCCAGCCAAAGGGAGTGGCCTCTCCATGCTCTGTGCACCCCTGCAGGGATATCAGGAAGTACTCTGCCAGGCAGGTGATGAGAGGAGTGCAGTGGAGTTTCTTCAGCTCAGAAGCACTCTTCTCGAAGGTCCTCGCCACCACCGAGCCCAAGTGTAGGGGATGATCCCTCTGGCGCATGGACTGGATGAAGTACAGGGATCTCTTGGTGATGGCGCTGGCACTGTCTAAGGCTGGGGTGTAAGACTTGGTCAGCATGTGATGGAGGAGACGGTTTTCAAGCTGCAATGTGCTGGCCTTCGTCTTCCCCGCCTTGAAAGGAAGCTGACGTGGCCGAGCGAGGCTGTAGTACAGCCTCCCGAAGTCCACCCTGTCTGGCTCGGCGATCTCGGTGATGAAGGTCCTGTCATTGACCAGGTTGAGGCCGAGGGCGTCCGCCAGCTCGTCGTAACTCATGGAGCGTGGTTCACCGCCGAGTCGGAACTGGACTGCAGCTTCGTCCTTCCAATCGTCCGTGGTTGCGTGCTTGAAGGTGGTGTAGAACTCAAGCACGAGCTCATGGTAAACCTTCGCGCGAATGGTGAGTAGGCGGCGCCAGTATTTGTTGGTGACAACGGGGGAGAGGTGCTCGTAGCAGTTGAGCTTCTCCAACTCGCGCTTGGACCAGTAATGATTCTGGCCAAACTTGCAGGCCAGGACGTTCTGAAAACGATCCCGTTGGGGCGCCCTTCTCAAATCTTGAACATATTGATGCCGGAGGTTGGGCTTCGACATGGTCCTGCAAAAGAACAGCCCAAAGTGGAACCAAAACAGCCAAGGAAAATGTTAATCACACCCCCACACTTAAGAACAGAAAACAGCCTAACCATGGTTTCATCCATAGTTTGGGGGTCAGAAACTCGATAAATCAAGCATAATCTGAGTGGGGGTGCACATTCACGATAAAATAGGCAACTTAAGGTTCACATCCATACCAAATACACCCTCAAAGCACATCATTAAGGGCCCCAACCGACCCCCACAAAATGGTACAAAAACAGGCATTTCATCGAACACCTTGTGTGCACTATTAAGGTAAGCATGAAATTGGCACAATTCTTGCACACAAGGGCTCAAACAATCAAGAGGGACTTTGCCCAACACAATTCAAACACACTCCATGCATTCCCCTCAATCAATTGCACAAAAATCACATAATTCAATGAGGTTCTCTAAACATGCACCCTAACACCCAATTCTCCACAATTAACATAGTTAAGGACAAAATCAAACCTGGAGACTCAAGTAGAGGTGTAGGGGATGATGAGGGGAAGGCGATGGAAGCGACGAAAAGCCGAAAAAATGCCCGGAAGTGCTCGTAGGAGCCTCGCCGGAGTCTCGCCGGAAATCGCCTCCGGCGACAAAAACGTCGGCCAAATCTCCTCAAAATGGAGGGATAGGCCACTTTTGGTGTAGGAAGGGTGGGTGTGTTGTTGGTTTGGTGGAAAAGTGACAAAAAATGGCCGAAAAAAATCGAAAAGGGGGGTTTTGTCGCGGTTTTTCGGCGAGGTTCAGAGGATCCCGGCGAGGATTTTGAAATTTCTGACGACCCGGCCGTGCTTGCCGAATATATAGGCCGTGTCTCGGCCACACGGCCTGCCTCGCACGGCCGTGTCAGGTGCACTTTTGCCCGTGTCGGCCGACACGAGCTGGCCGAGGAATTTCACTCGGCCGTGACGAGTGCTCATTTGGCCGTGCCAAATTCTGCGAGAGCAGACACGGCCAGGACAAATTGCCACACGGCCGTGCCATAAAATGAGTTGCCCGTGTCGACCACACGGCCAGGCCAGGCCAATCCACACGGCCGTGCCAGGTGCACTTTTGGCCGTGTGGAAATTGTCGAGAGCTCACACGGCCAATGGAAAGAATCCACACGGCCGTGTGAGTTTAAGGCTTGGCCGTGTGAACTGCTGGAGCCCCAAAATCAACCTGTTTTCACTCAAAAATGACATTCGTCTCTGGAACAACATCTCAAGACTCAAAAAACACAAAAACACAAGGAAAAACAAAGTAAGAAAATGCAAACCTCGGTGGAGTTGCCTCCCCACAAGCGCTTCTTTACCGTCTTTTAGCTGGACGCCAGTCGGTGGATGCTCAGTGAGGTGAAGGAGCAGGTGCCTTCAAGAGCGGATCCACTTCGCTCTTGAGGTACAGCTTCAAATGGTGGCCATGCACACGCCGAATGTGGCCACCAGCATTTGCCAACTCAACTTGGCCATCCGGCAGGATGCAAGCTAGTGAATACTCGGATGGCCAAGGTGGGGGCGGGACCAGCTCATAGTGGTCTCCGGCTTTCTTTCGAGCAGGCTTAGCTGCCTGCTGTTTCGGCCGCCACTCTTCCCTGATCTGTTCCTTCGATGACGGAGTGGACGGGAGTGGCGGCGAAGGTATGGGAGGCTGATCCTGCAAAATAGGAAACGCAGAAGGATACACGACAGACTCGTGCTCCTGGTGAGATACAACATGCAGAGGTGACGAAGCAGGAAGAGTATTAGAAATTGAAAATGTTATTCGCTCCTCACCATCCCTCAAAACTAAGGTCCCATCATGCACATCTATGAGGGCCTTGGCGGTGGCCAGGAAAGGCCTTCCTAGTATCAATGGCACATTCACATCCTCATTTATGTCCAAAATCACAAAATCAACAGGATAATTGAATTTGCCAACCTTAACCAGAAGGTCTTCCACTATGCCCCTAGGATGCACTACAGATCGGTCAGCTAATTGAAGGCTCATCCTAGTAGCACGGGGTTCACCTAGGCCTAGTTTCTTAAACAGTTTATATGGCATAACATTTATACTAGCACCTAAATCCGCCAAGGACCTATCTACATGCAAATTCTCTATAGAGCACGGGATAGTAAAACTACCTGGGTCCTTCTGCTTCTGCGGAAGCTTGTTCTGCAGAATGGCCGAGCACTCCTCGCTGAATTCCACAGTGGCCAGCTCGCTCAGCTTCTGCTTCTTTGAGAGAAGATTCTTCAGGAACTTCGCATTCTTAGGCATTTGAGATAGTGCCTCCAGGAAAGGCACTTGGACATTCAGCTTCCTAAGCATGGCCATGAAGTTCTCGAACTCTGCCTCCAGCCTGTCTTTGTGCAACCGAGTAGGGAAGGGGAGTTTAGGGATATACTCCTTCACTACTGGCTGCGGTTTAGGTGCAGGCACCTCAACCTCCTTCTCTGCTTCTTCTTCAGCTGCTGGAGATGCCGAGGCAGGGGCCTCTCTATTGTGCCCGAGCAGGTGGATCAACAGTCATCTTGCCACTTCTGGTTATGATGGCATTACAGTGCTCATTCGGGTTCTGAGGGTGAGGGATGGTCTGCCCGGGCAGAGTGCCAGGAACCCTTTGTGCCACTGCTTGAGCTACACTCCCCATACGGCCTGTGTGTTCCTCTGGCCAGCTTCAAGAGCCAGGAATTTACCCGATGCCTTTTCCATGAACTGCTCGATGGTGTTAAATTTTTTAGCACTAGAACTGGCGAGAGAACCCACCAATTCCCGCAGTTCAGCAATCTGATCATTCTGCACTGGGGCGGCAGGGGCTGCACCTGGCTGCTGGAAAGGTCGCGGCAGTGATGGAGCAGCATGCCCCTGCATGGGCTGGTAGAGAGACTGCTGTGGCTGCTGGAATTGCCCCTGTCTGGGCTGATATGGAAGCCTCTGGAAGCCCGGTGGTCCCTGTGGGACTGGTGGTCTGGAATTTGCCCCACCCCAGGAGAAGTTGGGATGCTGGCGCCACCCCTCGTTGTAAGTATTGCTGTAGGGGTCGTTGCGCCTAACATTGTTGATGAAGTTCACCTGCTCCTGGGGTGTTGTCGATTCCTTCATCGCTTGGCAGTCTTCCACAGTGTGATGGGTGCTCTCGCACCACTGGCAGAGCATCGCCTGCTGCTGTCCGGTACCTGCAATCAAACCAGAACGATCGATCGCTGAAACCAGCTTCGATACCACCTGCACCAAATCAGATGACTGGGTGCCCACAGCATGCACACCCTGTCCTGGTGCTCGTCTCGATCTCCTGGCAGTGCCCCAATCGTACCCGTTCTCCGCCATCTCCTCAAAGAGTTGATTCAGCTGTGGCGGTGTTTTGGTCAGCATGTTCCCGCCACAGACCGAATCAATCAGCTGCTTGTCCTCCGGGAAGAGGGCATGATAGAAGGTTCCCACCCTGAATGCATCGTTGAAACCATGATTGGGACACCTCAGGAAGAGACTGTTGTATCTCTCCCAAGCATCCCGGATGGTCTCATCTTCATCCTGGGTGAAGTGGGTGATCTGCTTCTACAAGTCCGCCGTCTTCGACGGAGGATGGTAGCGGGTAAGGAACTTGTCCGCCAGGTTGGCGAACGTGGTGATGGAGCCCGGAGGTCGAGTGTCTAGCCACTCCTTGGCATGCCCCTCGAGGGTGAATGGGAATTACCTCAGCTGGATGGCATCTGCGGGTACCCCATTGATCTTGATTCCATCAATGAGCTCGTGGAATCGCCTGAGATGTGATCGGGGGCACTCCCCCTCCTTACCACGGAACACCACTGAACCGCGCAGCATGGTGATTACTGAGGTGCTCACCTCAAAATTGTTGGCTGGGACATGAGGATGTTGAATGGGTGACCTCATGTCAGCGGCTCTAGCGGTCCAGTAGGATCCCATGGTCTGCTCCTCAGGGATCACATCATGGTTCCCTGGATCAGCCATCTCTTCTTCTTCCTCCTCTAACCTAGCGTGAAATCGGCCTAAAACACGAGAAATCACATCTCAACCGGTGTAAGAACAGGGGTAAAAACATGTGTAATTAACGGTCTATCATGGATCAACAGTCATCTTTCCACTCCTGGTTATGATGGCATTGTAGTGCTCATTCGGGTTCTGAGGGTGAGGGATGGTCTGACCGGGCAGAGTACCAGGAGCCCTTTGCGCCACTGCTTGAGCCACGCTCCCCAGCTGGGTTTGGATATCCTGCAAGACAGCATGTGTGTTCCTCTGGCCAGCTTCAAGAGCCAGGAATTTACCCGATGCCTTTTCCATGAACTGCTCTATAGTATTGAATTTCTGAGCACTTGAACTAGCGAGAGAACCCACCAAGTCCTGCAATTCAGCCATCGGATCATTCTGCACTGGGGCGGCAGGGGCTGCACCTGGCTGCTGGAAAGGTCGCGGCTGTGATTGAGCAGCATGCCCCTGCATGGGCTGGTAGAGAGACTGTTGTGGCTGCTGGAATTGCCCCTGTCTAGGCTGATATGGCGGCCTCTGGAAGCCCGGTGGTCCCTGGGGGACTGGTGGTCTGGAATTTGCCCCACCCCAGGAGAAGTTGGGATGCTGGCGCCACCCCTCGTTGTAAGTGTTGCTGTAGGGGTCGTTGCGCCTAACATTATTGATGAAGTTCACCTGCTCCTGGGGTGTTGTCGATTCCTTCATCGCCTGGCAGTCTTCCACCATGTGATGGGTGCTCTCGCACCAGTGGCAGAGCATCGCCTGCTGTTGTCCGGTCCCTGGAAGCATCCCGGAACGATCGATAGCTGAAACCAGCTTCCACACCACCTGCACCAAATCAGAAGGATTGTTTCCCACAGAATGTACACCTCGGCTTGGTGCTCTCCTCGACCTCCTAGCAGTGCCCCAATCATACCCGTTCTCTGCCATCTCCTCAAAGAGTTGATTCAGCTGTGGCGGTGTTTTGGTCAGCATGTTCCCGCCACAAACTGAGTCAATCAGCTGCTTGTCTTCTGGGAAGAGGGCGTGATAGAAGGTGCCCACCTTGAAAGCATCGTTGAAACCATGATTGGGACACCTCAGGAAGAGGCTGTTGTATCTCTCCCAGGCGTCCCGGATGGTCTCATCTTCATCCTGGGTGAAGTGGGTGATCTGCTTCTGCAAGTCCGCCGTCTTGGACGGAGGATGGTAGCGGGTAAGGAACTTGTCCGCCAGGTTGGCGAACGTGGTGATGGAGCTTGGAGGTCGAGTGTCTAGCCACTCCTTGGCCTGCCCCTCCAGGGTGAATGGGAAGTACCTCAGCTGGATGGCATCTGCTGGGACCCCATTGATCTTGATTCCATCAATGAGCTCGTGGAATCGCCTGAGATGTGATCGGGGGCACTCCCCCTCTTTGCCTCGGAACATCACTGAACCGCGCAACATGGTGATTACTGAGGTGCTCACCTCAAAATTATTGGCTGGGACATGAGGGTGTTGAATGGGTGACCTCATGTCTGCAGCCCTGGCGGTCCAGTAATGACCCATGGTCTGCTCCCCAGGATTGACCACATCATGGTCTTGTGGATCAGCCATCTCCTCTTCTTCAGTGATCTGTAGCTGTGCTAGCGCCTCCTCCGCATCCAGTCGCGCCTTTAGAGCCCGCTTGAAGTTCCTGCAGGTCCGTTCAAGCTCCTGATCTAATGGTAGTAGATCTCCCGACTGGCTACGGGTCATGCACTACCTGCACACAATCAGCAGAAGCAACCCGTGAAGGCACACAGGTGGAAGAGATAAAATGCAGTAAATAAAAAGCTAGAGTAATAAATTCACACGTTTCCCCAATAACCTAGAGGGTTCCCCGGCAACGGCGCCAAAAACTTGATGCTCTAAAACACAACACCAAACTGCGACCAAGTATAATCGCAGTCCGGGAATGCAGTAAAGTGACAAGTTATATTATCAACCCGGGGTCTAGATCTACTGCTTACTCAGTGATTCTCTATTATCTAGCCAACTAAGTTAAGTGTTTTTTGTGTAAAAGCAAAAGCAGAAAGAAAGCAGGAATTGATACGGTTTTCTCAAGCAGGTAAGAGTCACTCGGGAATGAGTCCCCCTAGCTCCTTAGTTAGGTTTCAATTGTATTTCCCTGGGTTGATTTACTGTTGATTAGACTGCGGAAGATCCGACAGTAGCTTGGAATCTCTTAAGCTGACCAAGCCCTCTCAGTCTAACTACCCGGCAGACGACTAGTCTTCACCGGGATAGAAAGCTGAAGCAGTAAGAACAGAACTCCACTACTGGAATTGGATTCCAGTACAAAGCAGTAAACTGGCTAACTCTTGTATACCCAATCTCCTACTACCGAATGATGAGACTCTAGCAACCTAATCAGATTCTATCTATCTCAGTTTGCAGCAGGAATCAGGAAAAGTTGATCAGACTTCAATTGACTCAATAAACATGCATCATTTGATTAAAATCAAACAGTAATATCATCCCATATCATTACAATCAATCCCTAACACATAGAACTAGGGTTCTTCATCCGCAAGTGAGAGAGGGGTTCTACTCCATAGAGAGAGAGAGAGGAAAACAAGGTACAAAGCAGTCATACTCATTACAATGGGAAGAATCTGCTCTGGGATGATGATTTCCACTCCTATGACGATCTCCAAGCTCGATTTGATGAAACCCAGCTCCAAGATAGCTTCTAGGATGTGTTCTTCGTCCTTTCTCTCTCTAGGGCTCTGTTTTTGCTCAAAAAGTCTGATCCTCTCACTTGCAGCCCAAAATTGGGTTAAAACCAGGAATTCCCGACTCACACGGGCAGGGCCACACGGCCGTGTGGCATACCCAGTTGCCCGTGTGACTTCAAAACGCTGCGTTCCGATTAATTGGACTTCACTCAACCTACACGGCCAGGGTCACACGGCCGTGTGGATCACCCTGCCTGGCCGTGTGAAGCCTCGCAGAATTCCACACGGCCAAACCACTCCCTCACACGGCCGTATTCATATCAGGGCAAGTCGTGTGAAGGCTCGCACAATCCCACACGGCCAAATAGGTCACTTGCACGGCCGTGTGAGTTGTGGGTGTGCCCGTGTGGCTTCCTTTTTGACTTGCCTCGCGCCCGATCTTCGTCCAATCGACCCCGAACTCGCTCCTAAACCTTCATTCACTTGCTAGGACCTGAAATATCACAAAAAAATACAACCTAGCGTGAAATCGGCCTAAAACACGAGAATCAACACCTCAAACGGCTACAGAATAGGGGTGAAAACATGTGCAATTAACGACTTATCAAATACCTTCCAATATGGACAGCAATAGAACTACCTTCCTGGATTCCTACTAGTACCGGACTTGTTCCCGATGCAAGGTTTGTTATGTTCGCATAGAGGCCCGACAACGTCATTTGTGTTCGCCGAACCAGAAGACTCATCCAATGCATACATGATTCTTCTTACTGACTACAAACATCTCATTCGAAAATCAAAATCCAGTTTCAGCACCTCCCTTTACAATCTACAACCTATTTCGAACCAGATGATGGAAAAAGGCAGGGTTAATACAACGTACCCTCGTGATTTGACGACGAAGGTTACTTCAATTGCTCTGCCGCTGAGACAATGGATGGGGAAGAGGGGGCGAAACACGGGGGTAGGTCGCAGAAACCGGCGGGAAGCGACCACGGTGACGGTGGCGAACTCCTCCCATTTCGTGTCGTTGCTGCACTGTCCTAGCCCGTTAGCCAGCCTAGGTTTTAGGAGGAAGCTTTCAATTGATAAAGGGTGAAAAGTGTTAAAATAAATTAAGAAAATAAAAAAGTTAATTGTAATCCGGCGTGGAATCCTTCGTGGCGGCTGACGTGACCAGCTCCGTTACAAAAATTGACCCGTTAACGGCATTTTAGCCATCCGTTTCCACAGAACAGTAATTGTGGCTAATAATTTGTAATACGATAGTTGTGGCTATAATTCTCCGCTTCACAATAGTTGTGGCTAATATATTGTATTTACCCAATAAAAAATGATAACATTTTTTGTTGGAGTTTCGGATCCTTTTTCTCTAATTAATTAATTGGGTGTTTTAAACCGGTCAAAAGACCAAATAACCCCTCCTTACTATTCGCATGAGCTGTGAAAAAGTGAATCAGATGGGTGCTTAAAAGAGAACCTCTTTATAGTGTTTGGAGGATTAAGCCATTTCTGAAATTATATTTAATCAATATTATACCCTATACGTTATTTTGTAAGTAAGGGTTAATATTTGGCATTATAATAGGTTGTATAACATGTGTATTTTATAATAATGTATAGAATACGATCCAGAGGTAGACAGGACAGTATACAACCTATTGCTAAATGAGTTGATTTGCTCTACCTTCGATTCATGCTCCTACTAAAGCACATTTTGGGTGGCATTATTTGAGGAGTGGGACTCACGGGACATCTAATTCGAGCTAACTTGACGAGAATTTTGAATTAAGTTGAGAAATACGAGCATTTGGCCAGAAAGAATTTTTCCGTAGATTGATTCATCGTTTGTAACTTCATTTGATTAATCGAGTGGATTAGTTGAATTCTAACTATATGTGATGGTGGCAGCCATTCTCCAGTTTCCCCACGTCAATCGCGCCGACAATGCTAGAGAATTCACCGAGTTGATTCCGAAAGTAAAATGCAATATTCTATTGCAATATGCAATAATTATATTAGATGCAATTATTATGAGTCGAACCGAAGTTCAACATGATACTAAACATAAGTTGTATCACGAATGGCTATATGTGTCTCTCTCTTTTTTTATATAAAATTTTAGTTACATGTTGCTCCCTTAATGGACAAACGGGAAGTGCGCCGTTTTCCGCCATCATGATCAATCAAACTATCAGTAGTCCAAATTATTTTTACATTTTGAATGTTGTATAACATGCACTTTGGTACATAACCGCTTCACGTTATATTCTAATGCATCAATAAAACTCCTAAACTTCTAAAATAAAAAAACCAAACAGATGTATCCATTATCATCCTCATACCATATTAGAGATGATTTATATAATGCAAAAGAAAGAGGACATGATATATGAAATTACTAATAACTGTCAATACCATACTCAGAAGCTACAATATCTAGAAAATTTACAAATTATCACTCTTGACATAAATTATATCACATCTCGCCTTCCAGTATAATCATATCAGAGAATAATATAATTAGTATCAGATATAATAAATCACGGAATTTTGTAAGTATGAAGTTGTGAGTTTTGTTACTTATCATTTCCCATAAACAAATGTCCATGGAGGTGCCAGATGGCTCATTAGACAGAATCATTGCCGAGTATAAGAGAGAGTTCATATTAGAGTATTGATTCAGGCAAGGACGACAGAGAGAAACAGAGAGTAGTAACCAGAATCTTGTTATGTGCGAAATGGGACTTGATCAAAGGCTTTGAACTTGCTTTGTGTATTTGCCCCATCAATAGTTGAATAAATAATGGGTGAAGTATTTATGGCCGGTTAACAAACTTCCGGCCGGCGGCAGTATATAAAGGTTGAATAAAAAATTACTAATTAGTCACTATATAACAATTTACATTTTGATACCCCAAATTTAATTTTAATATAAAATTATATTTAGGTATCTAAATTTTATGAGATTTTTCGTACCTACAATTTTTTAAATATACATATTGGTCCAATGTTTAGATTTCACTTAAATCCATGAATTCAATTCACCAATCCTTTTACACCAATCTATGAATCCAATCCACCATAATATACAAGTATAAATTTAGTTTGTAACAAACAAGATGTTCGTACGTACAATTTTTTAAATTACATATTGGTCCAATGTTTAGATTTCACTTGAATCCATGAATTCAATCCACCATAACATACAAATATAAATTATCACTCAACGGTAAGAGAAGATAATGTCATTTAATATTTGCTCATTACGTGAAACATTAAAAATAACCAAAATTAGTATACTATTTTTATGTATTCTAATAACAAGTATGAACAGGTCCATACTTAACATGACTCCCCAACAGTTTAGAGAATTAATAATTGAACCATTATCAAGTGTGATCTCTTGCGTCTGTACAGGTCTATTTTGTTTGGTAATAATAGTTTATCGCCATTATAAACAAAAATTGAACCATGAACCCCCTAACTTTTTCAGCTCAATGTCGAGTCCAATTAAAAATAAATATACATGGTTATTACTTATTAGAAAGTAATCATTTTCCACTATGGGATTTGAAGGCGTGAAATTTTAAGTGAGTTACAGTTTGTATTCATTTTGCTTCTCTGTAGAGTTTTTCTTTCTCACTCGGGCTAGAATTTTCAATAATTATACATTAAATGTTTGGCTAGGTATCTGTAAGACTACACATATCAAATAAATAGTTTTCATTTTTCTATAAAAAAGTACATAATTATCATTTTAAATACGTCACCATAAAAGGAATTAAGCCTCAACTATGCAAATTACAGTTTAGTATCTAAACTTAATAGATCTTTAGATTTATATACTAAATTTATTTTTTGGCATATAAGTCATCAAAATATTGATGAAACATTATATTTTAGTACCTAAAATTTTTTTGTATTACATTTTTGTACCTAAACTTCTGAATTTCTACAAATAGGTCTAATTTTTGTATGTATAATTAAAACACTCTCGAATAAATGGGTATCCATATCCAACTCATACACATTTAG